ATGTCACATAATAAAAGTATTTAAATTGGTAAACTTCGGTTTCATTGTAGCATTTATTTCAATTATTTCAATATTTATAATAAATACTAGAAGAGAAAGCGGGTAAATTTTTTAATACATATTTTCTACCCGATATAATGATTATAATACACAAGTATTTATATTTTCTATCTTGATATGATATCAATTTAGATGAATATCTTTGAAAATCAATAAATTTCTATGAGACTTTGAAGAAAATAGTACATCATTTATAATAAATTTATCCTCACGAGATAATAATATATTTGTTCTTCCGGAGTCTTTAAATTATGTCACTTCAAGTAATAATATATTGACTCTTCTAAAGCCTTTAAACATTATCTCTTTAAGTAATAATATATTTACTCTTTTAGAGCTTCAAAAATTTGTTTCTTCGAGTCATAATATAATCGTTCTTCTAGAGCCTTCAAAATTTATCTCTTTAGATAATAATATAGTCACTCTTCTAGAGTTTTCTATTGGATTGATATTATCATATATAATATTAACATAAAATAAATAATCAAATAAATCAATACAAAATAAATAAATAAATATATTCTCATAAACAAAAACAAATAAATAAATAGTAAAATAAGAAATATACAAAATTTTATTTATAAATAGAAAAACTCACAAGTAATTAATTTCAATTACTATTATTTTGAGATATAAAAGTGGTCTTCATATTTTACTCTTTATTTTTAAATAAGGTTTGACAAGGCTTAAGGAGGTGCTTTGGTGTACGGTAGGTACACGACCAATGTCTATTCATACCATATTTATAACATTCATTTTCGGAATGCCGACTTTATCGGTTTTCATTTTTTTCTTCTTTTCTTTCATAGTTATTTACTTCGGTGGTGAGATGTGATATCATGGTCATCACGATTATAATGGTAATTATTTCGACCACATCTATAGCTATGATCACATCTTCTTCCATGCTTAAAATTATTATAAATTATCACATTCACTTCGGGGAATTGATTATATCCAATTGGTTGAGATTTATTCCTTTTCATCAATAGCTTGTCATTTTATTTAGTTATGAGCAAATATGAAATCGATTTAGAATATTTTTTAAACTCCTTTTTCTTTATATGTTACTGCATGAGCATATTCGAGATATAAAAAGTAGAGAATATTTTTTCAAAATCAAGCACTCATAATTAATAATTCTAATTCGAAATATCAAGAGCCACAAAATCGAGTTTATGAGGTTTGATATGATAAAAATTCTATAATATAATATATAATAATAATATTAGAAAATAAGAACAAACATAATAATAAAATTAAAGCTTTTCAAACAACATATACTAGATCATTAGATTACGTATATTAAATCACTTAAAATTTTTCAAATGTATATTCTATATATCATTAGATTTAAAATACATAATAAATTAGATACATACCTCTTAATGATCTAAATATAATTTAGATCCAATTGGCGAGTACTTGTGCAAAAGAAATCCAATGGTTGAAACAATTGATTAAGTATTTTGGTACATATATACCTAATGGTCTATTATCTCTATTTGTTAGAACTTTATGCCGATAACGTGTTATAAAAGAAATAAAAATAATAGAAGAATTAAAGGAATGAATGACAAGAAAATGAAATCATCATAATGTGGATACAAGTGATAAGAACTTCAAAGTTTCTCTTATTCTCTTTAAAAAACTTGTACACCAACTAATGAATAATCAAGCTTATTTATAAGCCTCGAATTTGAGAATAGAATTGGAAGGGACTATGAATAGTCAATTGCATCACCCTTTCAATTTCTCATATTGAATGATGAATTGAATCATATTAAGAATCGTGAGTAGTGAGGATATGAAAAGTAGATGAACATGATGATGGACATTCATTGTTTCATAACGGTTGAAATATTTATTAACATTATAATCAACATGTTGATTTATTGAATATTATGTCGATAAATTTATCAAATATATAAACTTGTTGATTTGTCATGTCCATAAAATTACAAGGCCTATATCATTTAATATTATAGTAATTTTCTTTAAAAATATTTAAATTAAAAGCTTAAATGCAGGAGAGAAATGGCTTAACCAAAAGATGAATAATTTATTTATTTAATAGCATAAATACAATAATAATAATTATTATAATCGGAAAATAAGTTTCTTGCAATTCAAGATAAAATATGAATCGAGAAAATTGAGGACTTCATAGCATACATGGCATAAATTTTAGCCATAATGTCTTTATCTCATATTTCTTTATCTTATCATTAATTGCTTTTTACCTCGGAGGAAAAAAATACTTTCTACATGCTCCTACATGTTCATTTTCTCTTTCTATTTTATTGTGAGGAAATTTGGGTGCTTGGACATATCTTTTATTCTATAAATCATCCAAAAACATTTTGAATTTTCAACAAATTGAAATAAATTCTTAGTTTTTGAATTGTTAATTTAACTATAATGAATTTTTTTGATTAAAAATAGATATTTCTGTCTACTTTTTCGTTACTCCGTTAATTTTAACCGAATATAAAAACACGACATATGTATTAATAATTTTTTTTAATATTCATATAAAAAATAAAAAAAATAAAAAATTAATTGAAAACGGAAACCAGGAAGGATCTATTTTTTTAGTAAAAAATAGTTTATGGCAGTCAAATTAAAAAAATTAAAGGTTATCGAAAATTTAAGATGTTTTTGGATTGTTAAGCTTTTGTCTCGGATGAAATGATTATTAAAATCGAAGATATATGGAATTAATTGCTGAAATTAAATACCATTAGAGAAAAAACATTACACTAGATATATTGAAAAAAAAAAAATTCCTAATCTAATTATTTTGTTCATCACTGAAACTTCATGACCAATCGTTCACTTTTTTTTTTTTTTTGGGCTGGGATCTCAAATTCTTGGGCTTTAATCTTTCATCTCGAACTTCTTTTGATGGGCCTTAACTGGGCTTGTACTATTGATCCACTACTGTTTTTGTTTAAAATAAAAACAAGAAAAAAGCAAAGCAGGAAATTTCTCACAAATAAAGAAACTGGAAGATGCCGTGCTTGTCACCGAAGCCCAATGTCAAAATTACCCCTCTGTCCCATTCTCACTGTTTGACTCTTGACTTTTTGCATAAATGCTTTGCTTGTACACATCATCAAGCATCCAAATCTAAAAAATAAAGTAAAAATCATATTTGATTTTATTTCCTATTTTGCCATTTTATTCTACACGTTTGGTTTGTGTCCTTTTAGCTCATTAACTTATGATACATTAAAATTCATTTGATAATTTTTTTTTAATTCATAACATTTATTAATTGCTAAATTAAATTATTAATAAAATTTGCACGTAAATCACAATACACAAGTTAAGAAAAAAAATCTAAAAATAATAAACATTTAATACCAACAACGATAAAAAAATATATACAAGCTTTGGATGTAAGTTTAGATCTAAATACTCATAATATTACTCGATATAAAAAAATAAAAATTTACTACCAATTATATTAGTTGCAACTTAAAATATTAACTAAATACATGCATGAACTTTTATTATTATAGTTAAAAAATTAGATTTCATCTATGGTGAGTGACGTATGATTATTGATGAAAGTTTTCTTTTAACTAACGTAATATATTAGTTGCTAAATTAATCATTAATGAAATACTTATGTAAATTTTCAAAAGAAAAAAAGAAAGAAACACGCACTTAAGTTGCAATACCTAAATTATAAGAAGTTGATTTAAAATAATAAAAGTTTATTACCACCTCTATCATATTATTATAGATAAGAAACATATATAAAATTTTTAAATATTAATTTAAATCTAAATACTATAATGTTACTTGATATCAAAAGAGTCATCGTTAAATTGTAATGATTGAACAACGAATGTAATTTATTTAAATGATTTTTAAAATCAGTTTCGTAATAATTTGTGAATGAAATAAAACTGTATTTCTTATATCATTTGAAATAACAAAAATCATAAATCTATTTTATTTTAAATTGGAATCTATATATCCTCCTTTTCCTTGAAAGAATCAATCAATCAATCAAAAATAAATAAATAAATAAATGGATTTAATTTTAGAAACAAAAATTTATGAAAAGAATCCTAATTAGAATAAGAAAAAAATAAAAAATCATTTAATTTTTTTCCCACTAAATAACAAAATATTCTCAAAATCCCAACCAACCACACAAACAAAAACCTCAACCTCCTCAATAGTCCACAGCTCCTCAGGAAGGAGGGAATTATGGTCATTATGGAAAATAATCAAGGGCTATTTGGGTATAAGGTGGAGAATAAAAGGGGTAGAGATAGGGCTTTCGTGGCGTTGGTCTAAAGTTGTTCTTAAAGCAAGAGATTGGCTTCCTTCCATACTCTCAGACAGAAAAAACTTCTAAAACATTTCTCCACTCGTCGGAGTTTCACGCTCCGTGGTCGTTCGGAATCCGGCGAAGATTACTGAAACTACGTCAAGAAGAAGATGAATTGAATCTCCTTGAAGATTTTGCTGATCGGAGGAGTAGGCGAGGATTTTTTGGTCGACTATCTTCTCTGTTGATATTATTATCATTAGCTTCAAAAATTGGAGGAGGAGCCGGCGGCGGCAATCAATTTTGATGATTGTTTAAAGAAAAAGAAAAGGGTTATTTATAAGACAAAAAAAGGTATTGAAAAATTCAAGTTATTTTGATTAATTTCTACGATTTGTTTGTTTTCTGCTCTGCTTGGAATGACTGGAGATATAGATTTCTCTGGTTTTGTGTCTCGACTATAAGAGAAGACGAAAAGCTGAGATCAAGAGGTGGAGAAGTCAGATCTACTGTCTAGAGAGCAAGACTTTTGAAGTTAGATGCAGCGATTTATGGAGTGATAATGGACTAAGGATCGACTGATATTTTCTTCAGTTTTGAATCTTTGCCTAAACTCGTGGTGATTTGGAATATGCTTCTTTGTCCGGCGATGGCTTCTTCTGTTCGTGTTGATTTCTTGTTTCTATGATTGGATCTGTGTTTTCTGGGTTTCTTTCTGAATCCCATCTGCTTGTCTTTTGAGCAAATCGCCAAATCGCAGTGGTATACGGCTTTGGACTGAGCAAAGATTGTAGGGGTTTTCTTCTCTGTTGTGTTTGATTGAGATTAGAAGATGGGTTCTTCTTTAATTGATATTTTGGATGATCTTTGGACCAGACACATATGGTGTTTCTAGCAACTAGATTTACTGTCTTATTTTGCTGTCCAAACAACCATACATGTTTTAGGATGAACTACATACTGTCACATGTCCTGTTATGTGTGGCTTCTCCTACTGCCACTAAATACCGAGAAGACGTGCATCGAAGCTATTTTTAATTTGGGTTGAAGAAGTCTTTGAAGTGTTTCAAATCTGTTTATAATCTCCCTGAAGATCTTCTTATGAGCTCTGAACTACATGACAATGTGTTGAAATAGCTGTTCTGATTCATGTAGAAATCTATATTGGTTTTGTAGCTGATGTTGTTTTCCTTGTTTTGCAGTTAAGAAGGGCAGCAGCACATTAGAGGTTTAGATCTTTCTGTAATTATCAAGAGGAAATTCATTCTGTCAAGATTGGGGGAATCAAAGTAAGTTCTGGGATTTTTAACGTTTCCACCGTCGTATAATGTGTTGATTGTTATACGGATGGTGTTAATGTGTTGATTATTATACAGATGGTGTTAACGCAAGTATAGCTATTATGAAAAAGAAGAGGCTTGCGATTTTAAATTGATAATTATTTGTTAATTGTGGCTGTATTTTTTTAGATTTGTGATGGGCGTGTGATATTCATATTAGTATCTATTTAACTGAAAATTTTTATATTTTTGCAGACTAAATCCTCTACCACTCTGGGGACCAGTAGAAAGCAAGGAGCAACGGCGTCCTGCAAGACTTTGGGTGGTGGATCATCAGTTGATGGGCTAGGAATTTTTGGATCTGGGAGCATGATGAGTGCAGTAGGTCTAGAACTAACGAATTTTATAAATCCTGATTTGACTTGGAAGACAGTCACAAAAGGCTACAGGAGCGCCTCAAGGCGGAAGCCAGTTGTTAGAAGCTTTAATGTGGAGTCCAAGGTATCAGATGAGAGTGCCAGAAATGTGGATGATATGACAGTTTCAGATACTGAGAAGGTTAATATTACACTACTTTGTTCTTTGCTCTTGCATTTAATTGTTCTGGGTTGATGTGCCTCAATTCTATGTGAGGATTTTTAATATTTTCTTTTCTCTTTGGCAGCATGGTGTGGCTGTTCTTGGACGTCGCTTCAGTGGAAAAAACGAGAAAAATGAGCATGTACCCATTAAAAAAAGAAGATTCACAGCCCAGGGTCCTCCACAACCTTTTCGTACCACATCTCCATGCTTTCAAGTGTTTGAACCAAATTCAAGTGGAAAACGACGACGCAGAGCAACTGATGCTGCTGTGCCAACTAAGCTCAGTCCGAAGACATCAGGGGTTGATGATAAGTTAGATTACAGCGGTGACTTCTCAGGTATTGAAATACTTGCAGATGTTGCTTGCAACAACAGTATGATTAATGATGATGCTCGTATTGAAGAAAGTTCGGTAATGGAAGAATCAACACAAGAAGGAGCGGGCTCATCTTCCTCTGCAGTTCCATTGAAAGAAACTGCTGCATCCCCTAAAGATATGGCGCATGAAGATAAATCAGAGGCATTATCGCTTCAAACTAATGAAGTTACAGTGTTGCATACACCTGGTGGTACAAAGGACAGCAAAACGGAAGAAGGGTCTCTGTTGTCACGGGTTGAAATGTTGAGTTTGGACTTGAATGTTGCCTGGGAGCAACATTGTGATGCTTTGATTTTTGATTCCTGTGAAAATGATTTACAGAGTTGCGAGGTTAAATCTGAAGACTTAGAACAACACAACCCTCCTGATAGAGTGGTTTCATCTGATTTACATAGGGATGACGTGTCTGTTGATTTGGTAGGCTTGTCTCTTGGGACATGTGAATCAAGTAGAGAGGAACCTAAATCTGAAGCATGCTCTCTCCATGATGGAAACCACGAGGACCGTTTTCCATCTACTGTTAATTCTCCGGAACCCTCTATTTGTGATGTCGCCAATGCAAAAGCTTCCAGTCAGATTGTTGATGGGGACGAATCTCTAGATCATCCATCGTGCAAGACACTTCCTATTCTTAGCCTCAACCAGTGTTCAGAAATGTGTTCATCAGATGACCAAACGAGAAAGGTTTTGTGTACAGAAAGTGTGCAGGTTGAGTCGTGCAATGTTTCTTCTCCCCATCTACCAAACTTAGAGACGAAGGTTGAGTCGTGCAATGTTTCTTCTCCCCAACTACCAAACTTAGAGAAAGTTACTTGTGAGATTGACCTTTCAATTTCAAATGGTAGTGGACAGAATTCTCAGATAGAATCTTGTCCACATGAAGACGGGAAGTCAATTCAAAACACGAGTAGCTTGGAAAACTGTCCACCAATTGGACCTGCTTGGCTTGGAGTTGAAGCTGGAGGTCCAGATGAGGAATCAGGCGGCCACCGCTGTTCGCCTGCTAGTGGAGATATTTATAAATCAAGTTTATCTGCTGAGAAAGTTCAACCTGCGATGGAAGTGGATGCTAAAGAAGCCAATGAAGCTTCTGCTGCCAATAAGGTTGAAGTTCATTCTCCAGTGCAAGCTGGGTCTGAGGAACTGATCCAGAAGTCTTCTGCAGACTCAACTGTTACTCCTGGAGATGCATGCGGAGCACATGGTAATGGCTTTACAAGTGGTTCCCCTAAGGTCAATATGGAAGATCTGGGAGATGACAGCTTGGAATCAGATGTTTATCAAGCTGATAAGGTTCACATGGTTGGTGCTGAAAATGATTCAGAGCTTCAGGCTGGTTATGATTCTCAGTTTGAAGATGGCGAGCTGAGGGAATCTGATGCACACTATTACTGGGATGAAAATGGAGAGGATGGTGAAGTTGAGCATGTTGACTATGGGTCTGAATGCGATGAAGAAAGAGACTGTGGCTTGGATAATGAGAAGGAGATGAAGGTGGAGAGAGGTTCCAATTCAGGATCTGATTATGTTAGTAGAAAAATTGAACAATGTGGGATGGGAGATTCTCTGAGAGATGATTCAGTTAGCCCAAAGACAAGAACTTCGGATGTCACTACTGACAGGGATTTCCTGTCTGGTGTCGTTGGATCAAGGACATCCAATGGAGATTTCCTGTCAAGCATCGAGGAGTCCAGTTCCATATTTAGGAAGGGTCCTACACTTAGAAGCAGGTGAATTATTGATTCTTTATCTGTTCTCTCTCTCTCTCTCTCTCTCTTATTTTTTCTTCATAAATTCCGTTGTTAAGAGTTACTGATTTGTGCTTATTTCTCATATTTCAGAGCCGACAATGTTTATAATTTATATCCTCGAGACGAAAGGGATGCAGGTTCCCAGAAATTCATGGGAAGGGACAGGACTGTTCCTCAAATGCGTGGCAGGAGCCCTGGAGGCCATCGCTTTGTCAATCCTGCAACAGGCTACTGTGACTCAGAACGGCGTTATTTCTCTACTTATCGTGGCAATTACACTTCTGGACCTCCTAGATCAAGAGGTGGTTTTGATAGCCGCAGATATATATTAACTTCAGACCATACAGAGTCTGAAGGAGCAGGGTTTGCAGGATCTGACAATCGTGCCCGTAGGCGATTTGTTAATCCTCCTTCCAATGGTGCATATGATCGGGTCATTAGGAGGAGATCACCTACCAGCAGAGATGATTCATATCGTGTGCATACAGGAGCATTGCCTGTGAGAGATGGTAGCCCAGTCAGGAGTGGATTTAGAAGATTTCCACGAACGGTTGCAAGAGGAGGCTTGAGAGAGGAATATCACAGGCCAATGCCAGAGGACAAGATTGAATATTCTAATCGGTTTGCACCGCGGATGCTTAGGAGAGAGAGAAGTATTTCTCCCCTATGCAGAGGACAACCACGTTGCCCCTTCACACACAAGAAATCTCGGTCGAGATCCAGAAGTCGCTCTCCATCTTCATATTTACCAAGGGAAAGAAATGAGGTTTCAAGACTTCGTAGCAGGTCACCGGATTTTAGGACTGATGCTAGGATGGATAGAGTGAGGGTGCCATTTCAGAAGCGGTTTCCAGCCGATTTTGAAGAGGGGTTTATGCACACAAGAAGAAATCACTTTACACAGCGCAACCCCAGATGGTTTGATGATCGAAATGGTGGTTTGGATAGTTTCAGGGGAAGAAAATCACCTGGGAGTATGTTCCATCCAAATCAAAGATTTGATTCAGTGCGTACCATCCGGAGATTGGATTCAGATGATCAGTTCAGACCAGTGATGCGTTCCAGAAAATTTAACGATATGGGGAGTGCTAGCAGGGGAGGTGAATTTGATGGCAGTGATGATGACAGGAGAAAGCATAGGTATGAGATGGTTCAGCGAGTGAGACGGTATGATACAGATGGTGGTCTGCGGCGGTTCCGGTTTAATGCAGAAGATTCTTTGGTGGCTAATAATGATACTCCTAACTGTGATGATGGAAATAGAATAACTGACAGAAGGCCTGTAGAGGCGCTTAGAAGGGATGTTGAAGAGTAGTTTGTTTGAGAGACCACTCAGAAACCTTCTCTCTGGGTTAATCTGCTGATAGATAGGAGTTCTTTTTTTCTCTTTTATTTTTCTTTTATTGTAGAAACGTTTCAAGTTTTGGGCAGGAAGCATCTCAATTCCATCGTTTTTTTTTCCCTTACTGGTGGTGCTTGTGTGGAAGCATTCTCACGAGTTGGATTTTCTTGGCAAGATTTGCTTCTTATCTTTCATAGGAGTTAGATTTTGCATTTCTTCCAATTTTTTTTCCCTTTCCATGAATGTTTCTTTTCCCACCTTTTACCTCCCTTTCATCTATAAGCCAACTCTGGCTATTGTAACCTCTGTTTTGAGGTCATTAAGTTATAATGATCAATGGAAATCAGAAGTGGTTTTTGGTTTTCTTTGGTGACTAGTTGCAAGCTTTTTTCATCTCCCTCACCATGCCCATGGCCGACTTCTGCTACTGATTATTGTATAAAAGCTAATTGTAAAACAACTTCTAAAAGATTTGGTTTAAAGCTTAAAGCTCATCAATGGGGAATAAGGGACCGAGGAGGGAGGGTAGGATCTGAGCTTTGAGTCATTGAAGGCCACGTTTCTTGCTTTTGCTAGAGGGATACAACTGGATTAGAGGCGCACCTGTCGTGCAAAAAGACAGGCCGAAATGTTTGATTGTATTTGTCTAGATTCAAAGAACTTGAATTCAAAAAGTCAGAGAAAGACAACTTGGGACTTTGCTTTTAGTATTTTACTTTTCCTTCAATTGTCAGGAACCCATTTGATAGTGTGTTTTTTTGATAGCTAAGGTGATGCCCATGTTCTTCCATTTTTTTTTTTTTTTTTAATTCCAAGTCATTTTAAAATTATTATCTTGACTTTCAATTTTAAATTGAATCTCTTCGACTATTTTTCATTAAAATTTAGTTTCTTTATTAAGGTTTCATCGATTACAACATACAAATACCATTTTTTAATATTAAAAACATATCAAAATTTATGGGTGATTTTTTTTAAAATTATTTCTTCCTTTTAAATGCTGTGAAGTTATAAAATTAAAGAATATTTTTGAAGGAAAAAAATAAGTTTTGAAGAGAAAAATAAAGGCTAAATGAGTCCAACATTAACTGAACTTTAAATTATTTGAATTGAATTTCTGAACTTCAAATTTGGTTTTAGAAATTCTTGAATTTTTAATTTTCAAAGATTTTTTTTTTGGTTTGATGATTTTTGTTATCACCTTCTTTTCTAAAAAAATTAACTTTTGGTATTTTTTTTTATTGAAATTTTGCACATAGGCTGGAAAAAAAAATCTAATCTATTTTCTAGACAAATCTCAAATTTTTTCGAAATTAAAAAAAAATTTATTTATTTTTGAATATAAAAAAATAAAAAATAAAATAATATGAAATGGTCTCATTTTTTTTTAAAGAATTTCGTATAAATCTTACTAAATAATTTTCATCATGAAGCTATTTTATATGATTGTTATTTTTTAAAATAAATTATAAAAAATTAAAAAAATAAACTAAATTTTAAAAAACGAAAAAGTTAAAAGGATCTCAAAAATCAAAAACTAAAATTGAAGTTTAAAAATTCAATTTCAAATAAGTTTGTTCAGAAAAAGTTTGTACCATTTAACGTATCCAAGAAGACAAATAGTCTTGCTGGAAACATTGTTCTTGCTCTTTCTGTTTCAGCGGTGAGATGAGTCATGGCCTCATGGGCACGTTGGGTACCCTCAGAATTCAAAATGGTATGAAAATCCATGCTGTTTTGTTTTCAATCTCCTTCAGTTTGCTTTTTACTTTCAAATCATATTAGAACGTGGAATTGAATTTGGATCTATTCTTAATTTTGATTTCTGACCAAACCATAGTGATCAACACTTGTTGCTTGTTGCTTCTACAAAACTGATGCAGGTAGAGAGATCTTGAGGACTGCAATAAACTCGTAGACTTCTGGGATTTACAGATCTTTCAAATTGAACCTCTAGATTCTAAGTTCCTAACATGCTCTGTTTTAAATCACCAGCTAAAGCTGATGGATTCAAAGTGAAGATTATCTGCTGAAAAAGATGAACAGATTGCTGCCACTTCTTGCCTCATTGCCCTTGGTCCGCTAACATAAACTCCCACATTTTCTTCCTTGCACTCTGATAATATTTCTGCAAGAATCAAGAATCCAAAAATAAGGACACAGGATTTGCATACAAACAAAGTTTGTAAATTCACTTATGGGAGGAAAGAATTGCTTACTTTTCAGATTTGGCCTTTGGCTTGAATGCACTGTGGTGACTTGGCGAAAAGATTGTTGAGGAAGGCTTTCTAGTTCTGTTTCATATACCGTTGAAGCGGGTGATGGCGCCGGTGTTGACATATCGGTTGTCCGAACCTGATTTATTTCCTTAGAATTCTCTCTTTTGTTCCATAGAAAAGCTGCAGAGGCAGCCATTGTTATGGCCACACACAGTAATAACATGTTGAAAGCCGAACTTGCTGGGATCGGATACTTCATGTTGGTGTTGTGGTCAACTGGGTATATGTAGAATCGTGTGAGAAGGCCAATCAAGAGAAGGAATATGATAAAAGAAGCCGAAATTATTGCGCCGAGCCACAGCCAGCTTTTAGGTCCTAACACTGCAGAAACTGGTGCATCTGATGCAGTAGGCTTGAACCATATTGTTCTGGTAGAATTCTGGTTCTCTGTTTTTGGCTCTGTCTCTTGGGTTATGTAGGCTTCAATTTGTAGCTGCAATCGAGAGAGGTCAAGGGTGGTGCCTGAAACTGGGAGAAGAAGATCAAGCGTGGCAAGATCAACATATTTCTTGAAAACGCATATGAGTTGAATCCTTGGAATCTTGCTGCCTGCAGTTGTGTTGGATTTAAAGATGATCTCGCGGATGATGGATATGAAAGGCGTTATGCCGCTTCCACCGCTCACCAACACTAGCTTCTCATACCTGGGACAATTTTATCTGCGTCAATTTAGCTGCCACAAACATCAGAATTTTGATACATAGATTCTGCTAACATTTGATTACCTCATAAAATTGGTTGAAGGAGGTCCATAAGGTCCTTCGACGGAGACCTCGAGTCGTGTAGTAGGAGAAGGGGAAGACAACATCTGATACAACCTGTGAGACCAACTTCCGTCGCATTTGATGACGATGCTTAGCTTATCAGAATCCATATTGCTGTTGGAGGTAATAGTAAAGGGATGCCATTGCATCCTGGAAATGCTAGGCACATTTATGAACGCAATGCTTGTTGGTGCATAGCTCAACCCTGGCACAACAATGAACAGAAAGAGTGTCAAAAACTTATCGTCAGAGCGAAAAATTCGATCGCAAAACCTTTCAGTATCATCTAGTTACAAAATCCTGACTTCACCTGAACTCTTGGAGAAATTCAACTCTACTGTTTCACAAGGTAAAATACGTGCCGTGACAGTGCGAACTTTCTGCTGAGATTGTAACGATCTCAAATAGCGATCGATCAAGAAGAGGTAGAAACCAGGAAGAATGAGGCAAGCTTCAGCAAAACCAACATGGAACACATAGAAGATAACAAAGACAATGTAGAGATGATGGCTATAGTAGAAGATCTCGAAAAGCTTTCGTCTTATGCGTCCAAAACTAGTTGCCCACATGATCAATCCAGCAAGTAAAGCTATTTCTCCAGCCACATTGGAGATCATGAACTTGTCCCATTTGAGCATCTGCCACGTTCGACACAAACACGGTCCATAACTTCAGTAGCTAGCACTTAACCTATATAAGGTGAAGAAAGTTAGCAGATTCCATAGCAACTTACCTGTGAAATTTGATGTGTATTGGCCCAATAAGTAATGTAACATACACCATGAGCAGTGAAGATGGCCATAGTAATATGCCCTAGCCATATATGGTACTTGATGCTTGCCTCCGAGGTCAGGCCAACAAACTGCAAAACTGAAGATCCTCTAGTCACTGGAAAGAAGAGAAAGGCCAGACAGGTGTTTCCTACAAGCCCTAGACTCAGACCTGCACCTTCCAACTTAACTTCCCACCTGCCAAAAAGCTCAATAAATCAATTACCATCAATACATTAATCATTTTTTTTGGGGTACTTCTAAACATTGCTCTGAAAGTTGAGAAAGAAACAAAGCTTACACTTGAAATTTTTCTTGTGCAGCTTCTAGGGCAGCAGACGCAAACATATCATGCGTATAAGAATACATGGACCAAACCAGCAATCCCACAAACATGGCCAGAAATGTTAGCTCCGTCCAAGAAACAATCCCCAGGGGACCTGTCGTCATCACCGGCCGTTTCAATGACAAAATCCGAGAAACGAACCTGATATTTCAAGAAAAAACATGGATTCGTTAGTCAATAATTCATCTTTCTTATTAATTGATTATTAATTAATAGCGCATTATGTATCTTATATTAATGCCATACTTGTCTCTATCATGCATGCATCTTCTACAGCGAAAAAAACAATGGCTTAAAAAGTTCATATATACTTTATTGTTCAAACTCATAATCTCCGGCGAGGAATCCATCATTAGACTACGAGTTCCGGCGAGTTTTCGCCGCTTACACCAGTTAAAATTAAGGTTAGTTATTATTACCTCGTTGTGGTTAAATGTTGTAATAATTAGACTTTTAAATTCTAAAGTTTTCTAGTGGATGGCGATTAGATTGAACATTTGAAATTCAAAAATCTCAATTTACCATCAGTAATTCACACGTTAGCTAGAGTTTCGTCTGATGTAACCTTTCCATAGTCAAACAATGCTTAACCTTGTATACAATTATTTTACCTGGTGCTCTGATCATGATCATACTTCTTTTCCATATGAAGGTAGAAGGATCCAATGGTCGCAATGAAGAGGACAGGAAATGTATAAATAAGTATGGTTGTACCTAAAAATCACAAAAACAACATAAAATTTCTCCATTTTTCTCACAATTACAAAGCTAAAACCATAAAAAACAAAACATACCTTGTTCTCCAAGATAAGTG